TTTTAATTTATTACATATAAGATAATATAAAAAAAATTCGGAAAAAAAGAAAATGGAACGCAAACCATCTGGGTTTCGCCAATGAGTGGCTTTTAAAGGAAATAATTCTGAAAATAACTGTTTCAAATTGTTTCATACTATAATACGGCTATTAGAAAAATTCAACTTTAATAAGGTGTTGCAACAACAGTGCTATATGACATTTCTGGCTATACCACTGGAAGTCGTAAATTTGAATCACCCCATGCTGCTGGAATTTCTTTTTCTCTCTTATTTTTTATTGCCTTTGAATTATAATAATCTCTAAATAACTTGCATTTTATTATTGTAATATTGTTTATATCTACATAATTGCAATTATTTTCATCATAACTTCTTGTATAGCAATAATAAAAAAATGTGTGCAAAAAATTATGAAAACACAAAAAATTTCACGAAGTATTACATATATATTATGTAGAACCGAACTGTAATTGAAATATACAATCGAAATGAAGAACTGAAAAAAACAACAGTCGTAGAACCGTTTCAGAACCGGTATAATATCGGTTCTGAAGAACAGGAACCGAAACCGATATAGCTCACAACCAATATACCGAATAACAGTTATGACTTATGTATTTCGGTTCTTCATAATGCGCCCGAGTCCTTGCTAGATCCTTTACGTATCGACCCCCACCCTCGCAAGATCGCTAGCTTTCTCTGGGAACATCGACAGGAAAAGCATTCTTATCCTCCTCTGTTTATCTCTCGTTACAACTCCAATATCTGCAGGCACTTGACGAGCATCGACGGCGTTAACGGAGGACAATCTGGACAGTGTAGTCATTCACGCCGATCGACCGCCCGTACTTTGCCGGCATTCGAGATATTTATTGCCTGGGATGCTCTTGATTCCTATCCAGATTTCCAACATTTCGTACACTTTTCTGCATAGAAATACATTCTATGTAATTATTTTACTCAATTATGACAGGTTATTGTTTACTAACACAGTTTTTCCGATTTTGATTATTACTTTTAACAGATTCAATTTATTTTGAACGAATACAAAAAATCAAGTCTATAATAAATTTTTCATTTTTTATAAAAACTAGATCATTGAACCCCGTTTATTTGTTACGCCCTGGTAATCGTTTGTCTGATTGTTCTACATTATGCCTATAATTACAAGTGAACAATATGAAAATTATTCTTCTTTTTGTTTTACTGTGTTTGAACTTCTGTTAATCGTTGTTCTAAATCACTGTATTATTTTACCGCGGGAACGTCACACCGCGACATTCAATTCAATGAATACAGATTTTTTTATATTGGCAACACTGTACTGATTGTCATTTAAACCGCTACCATGTAAAACCAGCTTTAGTCGATATGAATGGGCGTGACATAAATATGATAAGAAGTGCTAATAATACTCCCAAGAGAATATGCCAAAATTTTACATTACATGTTTTGTCTGTCCTATACCTCGTCTGTATTTACACATACGTGAACCTACTCATTTACTAAAATTCACGGATCGCGTGTATCGTAAAGTACAACTTCATGGATATTAACATATACTTACACCATACTTTACTTTTTGATTAAAAACCTGATTTTATGCAAATACAAGTTATAATACATAAATAATTTACTAGGTGAAAATAAAAAACATTATGATTTTGATTAATAAAATTTAATTAAATACTCCGGTACACTCTGGTATAACACAGTTAAGATGTTACGCGTGTAAGGAATCGTGCTGTACGAGATTTTTCTCGTATAATATGAATAACATAAAGTAACACGTTTTGAATAATTATTACTATGCTAACTCTTATTTTATATATTTTATACAAAATAAAAGAATTAGGAAACAGAAAAAATCGATAACAATAAAGAAAACAACTAGTCCCTAACTTATTCTTAAATGCCAGAAATTTCTGAATTTTATTACGTATAATGTGCGAGAAATCACGTTGTACTGGAGTCTACTGTATTAATGTTTTCAGGAAGTAAACGATTCTTTTTTGTAACAATGTTTCTAGCACAAGACAAACACCGTTTCGACATCGTTGATGTTACTTAAATTATCAAATATTTTTTACACCTTCGATTTAATGGTGATTGATATAAAGATGTTGCCGTAAAATTCTTTTTAACCTTGAAAAAAAGAGTTAAACTTTTTTATTCGAACATCATATTCTGTTTGTCGCGGAAGCAAATAGTTTCAAAGGAACTATTACTAAGTTCATATACTTTTAAGTCTTTGGTTGCTTTTACACTATGATTCCTGAATCGCGATCACGTCACCCGATATACAAAGTGATTCTAAATTATTGAGCACAAATAGTAAGGCGTATACAACTCACTAAACTGAGTAAAAAAAAACCCAGTGAA